TTTGAGACGGAGCCTCAAGTTATCCCCCTGGGTAGAGTGCCATGGCATCACAGCTCATAGCAACCTCCAACTCCTGGGCTCAAGTGAGTCTCCTGTCTCAGCCTCCCAAGTAGCTGGGACCACAGGCGCCTGCCACAACGCCCGGCCATTTTTTAGTTGCAGTCATCATTATTGTTTGGCGGGCCCGGGCTGGGGATTCGAACCCACCACCTTAGGTGTATGTGGCTGGTGCCTTAGCTGCTTGAGCCACAGGTGCTGAGCCTTTATACCTTCTATATTTGATTTTTTTGGTGGTAATTTGGCATTACTTTATTATCAGGGAAAAGCCAGGGCAGCCATTTGCCTCAATGGGTGGAATCTGGAGTGGGACTGTGATTCACGCTCATGTGTCTCTCCTAGGTGGCCTGGGCCTCTCCAATACCATGTACGCGCGGCTAGGGGAGATCATTGGCTTGGATGGATCCATCGCCGTGACCTTGGCAGCACACCAGGCTATCGGCCTCAAGGTCAAGTGTCTGGGATTTCTGTTTGATCTTCTGGTGGTTTGGAGGCTGAAGGCCTGCTCATTTTTGGGAGAAGTGGCTGATAAGTAGCCCTGCCCCGTGTCCTGTACTCCTGCCATACCTCGGGCACACAGTTCTCTCTGTGGCCACATATACAGCGGTCCTTCAGTCACAGTGTGTGATGAATTTTCCTCCTGTTCCCACATCACCTTTGACCCGTCTTCAAAGCCCAGATTGAATGCAGCTGCCTTCACTTTGGGCTAGAAGTGGGCATCCCCTCCCGAGCTCTGTCACTTGGGCCTGAGTGTGCCTCCCGCACTGTTTGTGCACGTACTGTGTCTGTCTTGCGGGGCTTGGAGCATGTTAGGGTGGGTCTGGGGTCACACAGCTCGTAGTAGAGCCTCATTGCTCAGGTTATTGCTGCTTGATGTGGTCCTTAGAGAGCTGAACCCACCACGTTCAGCTCCCTGCCTCAGGGAGCGCACGCATTCATGCAGATGCATAGGGAAAAGCGGGGCCTTACCATACGGCACTGGCTGGGAGGAGATAAGACAGCCCTGACACCAGCTGTGCACCTTTGTCACGCTGGGCGTGCTGCTAACACTCTTGTATTTTCACATCCCATCTCCTAGGCCACCTGCTAGTGGGTAGGAGTGTCTTCAGTTTTTGGATGATGAATTGGAGGCTCAGAGAAGGGACATTCATTGCCTGTGGCCCCCAGGGTGGGACATGGAAGAACTGTGGGGCAAACCCTGGGCTCTGACTGCGCAGCTCTGCAGGTCCCACGGGTGCCTGGTACGGGTGCTCTCGGGTTCTTCAGCCGCCTGGCTCCCTAGACTTGCCTGCAGCTGCCTGCCTGAGGCTCATACAGTCTTCTCGAATGAAGGAAATATTTTCTTCAGAAGGGGAACGAGCACTCCTCACACTCTTTTCTCTCCACACTGCTGAAAATAGTCTCTGTCTATTTTGTGTAGGGAATCATCTTGGCCGGCACTGAAGAGCAGAAAGCCAAGTACTTACCCAGACTGGCATCCGGGGAGCACATTGCAGCCTTCTGCCTCACGGAGCCCGCCAGGTCTGTCACCTCCGTGAGATGGCGTCCATCAGCAGGGTTCACTGGGACAAGGGGCAGTGTTGTTTTTGTTGAGTAGATGACTTTTATTTCTTCCCAAAACCTTCTAAAGAATCAACTCAGCAACCATTCTTTTTTTTTTTGGCCGGGGCTGGGTTTGAACCGGCCACCTCCGGCATATGGGGCTGGTGCCCTATTCCTTTTGAGCCACAGGCGCCACCCAGCAACCGTTCTTTTATTTTGATCTTTTGTCTCTGTCCCAGTGAGAACACAGATGAGATAAAGTGCCTGACAGCACCTTTAATAAATGTTTGTGGTTTGCAGTATACATAACATGCAATGATGCATTCAGGCTCCAAAGTGCCTTTCAGAGCATCCAGGGCAGGTGTACAGAGTAGGAAGTCAAGTTCAGTGAGATTGTGTGATCAACCTGAGGTCACAAAGCCGGGATGGAGTAGGGCTGGGGTAAGACTCAGGACTTAAGATAGCAAGTCCCTCTCTTAGACCACACCCCACCCTGCTTTCCCTTGCTTAGGACCTAGGAACAGTCATGCCTCCTGGGGTGACTGAACTCACCTGCTGAGCACTGCAGATGAGCCCATTTAGAGCACACGTCTCCATGTTCAGGCCTAAGCTGAGGTGTTTTCCCTGCCACCTTTTTACCTGATAGCTCGAAGTAAAGTTTGGCCAGTCCAGCCTGTCTCCTGTTTTTATAAATAAAATTTTACTGGAACGTGCCCATCCTTTTTCAGATAATCTTCACTGCTTTTATGTCCTAGGGGCAGTATTGGGGAGGTGAGAAAGACAACCCGTGCAGCTTGGAAAGCGGAATGTACTGATTCCCTGACTCTTCTCTGAAAAGCGTTCCTATTTTTCCCGGTGTTGTTGTCCCTTGACCGCATCTTTTTGTCTCTGCAGTGGGAGTGATGCAGCTTCCATCCGGAGCAGAGCCACGTTAAGTGAAGATAAGAAGCACTATGTCCTCAATGGCTCCAAGGTAGGGCCCTGTCCTTATGGCCTTGACATCACTGTGTGACCACTTCCCACTCACTGCCAGGAATTGTCAAGGGCACCTGTGATCTCTTGGCCTGTGGGGGGGTGATATTCTCCTTTTGCTGAAGAAGAAACTGAGGCTCAAAGACGATAAGAGACTTGCCCCCAGGTCCTGTGTCTCTTCAGTGGCAGAGCAGGTTGGACCAAGGCATTCTGGCTCTGGAGGCTGCATGCTTCTGTAGCACCAGCTACCTCCCCAAGCTGCTTTTGTGTATTTGTTTTTTAATTTTTTGTTACAACATTTCAAACATACTTCCATGCCTGGCACCCAGCTTCAGCACTTGCTCACATTTCTGTGTCTCTTCTGAAAGCATCACCATCTCTGGATCGCATCAGTGGCAATTTTTACACATGTCTCTAAAAGATAGGACTATTTAAAAAAAAAAAACCAAAGCCATTATACCATTATCACATTTAAAAAAAATTGATAGGCCAGGTGTAGTGGCTCATAGCTGTAATCCTAGCACTTAGGAAGCTGAGGCAGGAGGATCGCTGGAGGCCAAGAGTTCAACACCAGACTGGATAATACAGTAAGACCCTGTCCATACAAAAAGTAAGAAAAATTAGCCAGGCATGGTGGTGTGTGCCTCCAGTCCCACCTACTTGGAAGGCTGAGACAGGGGGATTGCCTGAGTCCAGGAGCTGGAGACTGCAGTGAACCATGATTGCACCACTGCACATCAGCCTAGGCGATAGAACAAGACGCTGTCTCTAAAAAAATAAGTTAATTTAAAAATTGATAATACTTCCTTACTATCTGTTCAGCATTCACAGTTTGCCTGATTGCCTCATACTTTTTTCAACAGTTTTTTGCTTGAATTAAGATCCATGTAAGTTCCACACTGTGCAGTTTGTTAAGCAACCTCTTCTCTCCTTCCCTCCCCCCTTCTTATTTTGAGACAGTCTCCCTAGATGGAGGGCCATCGCATCGTCATAGCTCACAGCAACTCAAACTCTTGGACTTGAACAATTCTCTTGTCTCAGCCTCGCAAGTAGCTGGGACTTAAGGCACCTGCCCCAGTGCCTGGCTAATTTTTCTAATTTTAGTGCAGGTGAGGTCCAACTCCTGAATTCAAGGAATTGACCCTGCCTTGGCCTCCCAGAATGCCAGAATTACAAGTCTTTCTTTTTTAATTTATGAATACATGTATATATTTTTCTTCCATGTACATGATGTTTTGATAAATGTGTCCCTTGTGAAATGCTAGAATGCCTCCTTTGGTGGTAGAGCCTGAGTTGTTGTGGACCACTGGCTGTTCTCCCCCATCCCCTCCCTGGCCATGTGTGTCTCTTGGGAAGATGGGCCCTGTTCTCTGTTCACACAGGCTTGACTTATGCAGAACCAAGGGCTTTGCGTGTCAGTTTGAAGTCTGACGAGCACTCAAGCTTAAAGGGCAAGGATGAAGCTGAGAAGGGTTACAAAGGAATTTGTTTTCTCCAGAGTCCTTCTTTCTGTCCTCAGGTCTGGATCACCAATGGAGGGCTGGCCAATATTTTTACTGTGTTTGCAAAGACTGAAGTTGCTGATTCTGATGGTGCAGTAAAAGACAAAATCACAGCATTCATAGTAGAAAGAGACTTTGGTGGAGTCATTAGTGGGAAAGCTGAAGATAAATTAGGCATTCGGGGTTCCAATAGTAAGTAACTTGTGTGCTTGTGTGTGTGTGTGTGTGAGCGAAGAGAATGACCCTCTGCTCTGTCCAAATATCAAGATGAAATGTAATTTAGGCCAGGCACTCACACCTGTAATCTTAATACCTGTGGAGGCTGAAGAGCAGGGATTACTTGAGAACAGCCTGGGCAACATAGCGAGACCCTGCCTATACAAAAAATGGGAACAGTTGGCTGGGCATGGTAGCAGGTAACTGTAGTCCTATCAAGAGGCTATGGCAGGAGGATTGCCAGAGCTTGAGTGTTTGAGGCTGCAGTGAGCTGTGATGATACCACTGCCTTGTAGCCTGGGCAACAGAGTGAAACCTTGTCTTAAAAAATAACAATAATAAAATTCAAAATTAAACTTTTTTGCAAATTCAAATTAGAATACCACAAAAGATTCTTCTGTGGTGGTTCTCTCCTTGGCTTACTCACTAGTTAAACAGACACAGTGCGCCTCTCGGTGCCTCCAGCCCTGGTGGTTTCAAGGTGAGGAAGGCTGTTGGAGCTCTCAGCCTTGTAGGAGAGGCGGTTGACACCAGGAGGAGTGGGGTGGTGGGTGTTTTAGGTAAATATTCCTTGTTAGGAAACCCCCAGAGCCCCTGGCTTTCCTGCCTTAGAACCTCTTTCCTATCACTTCTCCTCCCACCTGTGCAGGCCCATCTGTCATCCCTGGTCACCTGTGCAGGCCCATCTGTCATCCCTGGTCACCTGTGCAGGCTCATCTGTCATCCCTGGTCACCTGTGCAGGCCCATCTGTCATCCCTGGTCACCTGTGCAGGCTCATCTGTCATCCCTGGTCAGCGCTGTGTTCACTTGAGGCTCTAGTGTCCTATGAATTATCCTTGGTCTGGCTGGTGCTGCCGCTGAGCTCCCAATGCTGTGGCTCTTGGGTTTCCTAGTCTCTGTGTGTCTCCTCGTCTTTGGGGACCCTGCGTTCTAGATGGTCATATTTGCTACACTGGCTGCCTGGGCTGGAAGGTTAGAGGCCTCTGAGCCCCACCATTTAGAAGCTGTGTGGCTTGAACAAGCTAGTTTACCTTTCTGCACTGTGGTTTCCTCAGCTAAAGGAAAAGAGTGATAATAGAAGCCCCTTGTGGAGGTGATGGCAGAATGGAATGTTAGAGGTGATGTGAGAACGGAGCGCTAGAGTGCATAGAATGCTCCGTGTGGAAGCACAGCAGTGCCAGGGGCGCTCAGAGTGCTCACCACTGCCTGCAGAGGAAGGAGGACACCCCAGGCCTCGAGGTAATAAAGAGCCCACTCACCATGTCTGTGGGGAGGGAGGGAGCTGGCCTGCTTTTGAGCATACGATAGAAGCATGGTCCACTCTTCAGTCTGAGAGGGTGGCACCCACTGGTGTGGTGCAGTGGCCCTAAGAGAGAGGATTGAATGGCAGAAGAAGACGGACACAAGGTCTTACCCACACCCACAGCCTGTGGGGGACTAAGCCTTTGTGAGAGGGGGCTGGTCCTGCAGCCCATGTACTACCAGCCTTAAATACAGCCCAGCAGTCAGAGACAGCAGTGTCATCACCTTTCACAGCCAAGCTGTTTGTCATAGTTGGAGGAAAGGTCAGAAGACCCAGGGTGCCCACGCCAAGTTGGTGCCCCTCGAGCCATGACCATCTCTTTCCTGGGCCTCCAGCTTCACTGGTTCACTGGTGTAAATTGCCGGGAGCTGCTTTGCATGTTTGTGTATCAACATGCAGAAACACATTGCTAGAGAAAATATGGCACAGACCCTCTCCACCTGCCACACCTGCCACACCTCCTCCTCCCTGGCCGTCCTCACTCTAAGGCCTGCTGGCCATCCCTTGCTGCAGTAACCCTGTCTGACAGTACCTGGCTTATAGTTATCTCATGCCCTGGGGGTGCCTGGGCAGCCTGCTGCAGGCTCTGGGTTGGCTTCATGTGACCCCTTGGGTTTTCTTTACCATCCTGGAACATTTTTCTACAGCAGCCCACAAGTGCTCAAGGGCCAAACCGAACCATAAAAGCACATTAAGGCCTCTGGGCCTCAGCATGTGTTGGGCCAGTTGCATTCCATTGGCCATAGCAAGTCATGTGGCCACACACAGCATCAGCAGGCAGGGAAAGCAAAGTGCATCCCTGCCCACCCTGGGAGGGCACAGAGGAACTTAAAGGGGGCAGCTGTGTTCAGAGTGAAGAATTGGGACCAATAGTCCCAGTCTACCCTTAGGCCTTAGGAAATGCTATTCCTTTGTTCTATCTCTGCCTTTTCATAGGACTGGTTCTTTCTTATCCTTTAAACTTCTGTTAAATGTCCCAGAAACATCCATCGTAGCCCTTAATATAAGAGTGTTACTGTACACCCCCTCCTGCCTCCATTTATGTCACTGTGGCCTATGTTTCTGACTGCAGTGAGCTCCACACAGACGAGAGCTCATTTCTGTACCCCTCTCCCAAATGTTGGATGAATGAGTCAGTGAGTGAATCGCATGCCTGCAGGTCTGTTGCAGAGTGGTTTGGGTTTGTCAGATAAGGCCTTGTGTTTCACATTGCAGCCTGTGAAGTCCATTTTGAAAACACCAAGGTGCCAGTAGAAAATGTTCTTGGAGAAGTTGGAGGTGGGTTTAAGGTGAGTTGCAGCTGCAGCCCCAGTGAGTAGGGTCTCACCGTCTGGCTTGCTGGCCTCCAGCCATCTGTCCCACCTGTGCTTGGAGTAGCCAGTGCTTGGCAGGTGACTTTGCATGGTTCTCCATTGGGAAATCAGCAGAATGGAGAGTGGGAAATTGGCTTACTCTTAGAGGAGGGAGAACATGGGAAACACTGGGAGTCTTCTTTTGTGTGAGGCTCATTTGCCTCAGTGAGGGAAAGGATCCCTACGCCACCCCCACCAGCAGGTGAGAGAAACCAGGCTGGCCAGCTCTGGTGAAGGTCTGGGTCAGCACAACCAGGGTCTTGAGTCTCTGCCCTAACTTTCTTGTTTTTTTAGAATCAGATTTATTTTTTATTCAGAAATAATTTATATAGCATAGAATTTATTATTGTAAAATGTAGACTTCATGGTTTCACCATGTTGTACAGCCATCACCTCTAATTCCAGAACAGTTCCATCACCCCACAGAGAAACGCCATGCCCCATGGTGTGCCCTTACCCTGTTCCTCAGCACTCACTATTTTGCTTTGTATCTGTGTGGATTTGCCACTTTGGAACATTCCACATGAATGGAGTCATACAGACGGGGTGGCCTTGTGGGGCAGGGTGTGAATGGAGTCAAACACATGAGGAGGCCTTGTGTGGCAGGGTATGAATGGAGTCATAGACATGGGGAGGCCTTGTGTGGCAGGGTGTGAATGAAGTCATATACACGGGGAGGACGTCTGTGGCAGAGTGTGAATGGAGTCAGAGACATGGGGAGGCCTTATGTGGCAGGGTATGAATGGAGTCAGAGACACAGGGAGACCTTGTGTGGCAGGGTGTGAATGAAGTCATACACATGGGGAGGACTTGTGTGGCAGGGTGTGAATGGAGTCATAGACATGGAGAGACCTTGTGTGGCAGGTGTGAATGGAGTGGTACACATGGGGAGGCCT